AGTCTCAGGAAGAGAGTTCAGCAGGTGAGCTCAGTGCAGGTTAAGGCTGAGTCTCGGGAGGAGAGCAGGTGAGCTCAGTGCAGGTTAAGGCTGAGTCTCGGGAGGAGAGCAGGTGAGCTCAGTGCAGGTTAAGGCCAAGTCTCAGGAGGAGAGTTCAGCAGATGAGCTCAGTGCAGGTTAAGGCAGAGTCTCAAGAGGGGCTGGGAGAGGGGTACTTACCACATTCACTAAGGGGCCAAGGGATGCTGCAGTGGAAACGGCAGACGCTGTCGGGAATCAAACTGCTGGCTCCACAAGACACCTGACCTCCTGTAGGGCAGATGGGCTGCTGTGGAACATACCCATTCTCACAGTGTCGCAAGCACAGGCGAAGAGCTTGAACACAACCCAACTCATACAGTGAAGTCTCTCTTCCTCTCTGCTTTTATTTCACTTGAACAACCTTTACATTTACAGTAGTAGATAACACAGTTGTGTTATTAAATTAACATACATCATGTGAGTTTTCTAAAAAGGTTTGTGTGTATTGCTGAAACCCTTAATGATAATTCCTTCTATCCATCATGGTGTTTGTGGCTTCTGTCTTATTTGAAATATTTTAATCAGTGTACCTTCAGTAAAGGTACATTATCTGATTCACTTGCACTGAGATTTTTCATTTAGCAATGTTTGACTTATGTTCCTGACATTTTATAAAGTTTTCCATAAAACATTTTACATCTCCAAATGTACCCAGTTTAATTTACTCAGTTTTCCGTGTGCTGAAGTTCACTGCATGTGAAATTTACAAAACGATGGTTCTGTCAGTGAGCTGTACTGCAGACAAGGTTTGCTGTACACAGCCTGGCGCTTGTCTACCTGTCTGAATTAGTCCTCGTTAGCTGAAGCACCAGCCCTTGCCTGTGATCACTGTCCCATCATCCTCCCAGCTCATCACCCCACCTGCTGGAGCAGAAACCCCAGAATGCTGTGCTGTATGAGCAGCCCTTTACCTGCCTGAACACCAGGGGGAGACAGAGACAGCTGACCAGGTGACAAACAGTGTGAGAGGCACAGGCACAGGCACAGACGAAGTACAGGCTCAGTGACCACAGCCTGGCCATAGAAACTGGGCGACACAGGCTGTGCTCCCACTGCCAGCGGAGAGAAATAGAGACAGAGGTGCACTTCCTACTGTACTGTGACAGATACTCTGGGATTAGAGAAACATTCTTCCCGAAATTCAGAAATCTAATCCTAGAGTTCCCACACCTGCCAGAGTCACAACGGGTCCCAATCCTACTGGGAGAGGGAGGAGGGAACTCAGTTGATCTGGCAGCCCAGTATGTGATCTCCTGTCACAGCCTGAGGAACAGTGAGTCTGTCTCCTTATAATGCTCCAGCCACCTACAGTATATGTCAATATTTTATAATATGTCTTTGTTGTAAATGTCTGTAATATGTCTGTAGATTTTATTTTACTTCTATTTTTTGTTTTGGTCCATGTTAATTTTTATTATTTTTATTTTCTTTGGCAACACTGATTGTACCCATTGGTCATGCTAATAAAGCACCTTGAATTGAATTGAGAGAAGGAGACACTGTGAGCAGTCAGTTTAGAGCTGGACCTCTGGGCTGCTGTCCTGATCCTCCTCTCAGTCTGTAATAAAGGAGCAGAGCAATTTTCATCATAATCACCCATCTCTCATCAGAAGCCTGCTTCTCCTGGTAAGGATCATGGCAACATGGGGACTATTCCAGAAGCTGAGAGGATCAAGTGAGACTGCACCCTAGACTGTCACAGACGCATGTGAGTGGGTACACAGGCAGTGGAGTGGGCACAGGGCGTCCACAGCTAGTCCACAGGGGGCACAGGGCGTCCACAGGAGGTAACGGTATGGGGGAAACATGAAGACTTTCTCAGCAGGATTACCCTCCTCCACTGGACTCTGTGTTACTGGTGAGAAGATTAAAAGAACAATAAAAACAGAGGAAGAAAGTACTGCAGTTCACATTAGAGCCTGTAAAACTGAGGCTCTCTCTCCCTCCTCTCACAGAAGGAGGCATGAAGGCCCTCTGGCCACAGTACAAACCCTCTCTGCTTTATCTCTGGCTCTTCTCTCCTCCTGTCTCCTGAGCTCTCTCTTCTTCTTCTCCAGCTCCTCTCCCCTGTATCTCCTCTCCAGGTCCTCCTCCTGTCTGCGGATCTCCGGCTCTCTCTCCCTCAGGATCCTCTCCTGTTCCTTCCTGATCGCTCTCTCAGCCTTCAGATACATGTCATTGGTGTAGCAGCCTCCTCCATTCCTCTCCACCATCTCCTCTATCTTCTCCAGCAGCTCTGTCACCTGACTGCGGTCCTCTGGATTCATATTGTTAAACACATGATAACGATTCCCACTGCACTGTCTGACAAACTGCTTAAGATCATAATTCCTACAGAGAAAACCCTCAATACTCTGACTCCCCAGTCGATCCCCCTGTGTGAACAGCACCATGGTGTAATGTGCTGCTCTCTCTCCAAAGGTCTCCTGGATCAGCTTCACTGTTTCCTTCTCCTCCTGTGTGAATCTGCCCAGCTGGAGGACCACCAGGAACACATGGGGTCCCGGGGAGGACAGACAGACACAGGTCATGATCTTACGTATGACTTCATCATTGGAGAGGTGTGTGTCAAACAGGCCTGCAGTGTCGATCACAGCAACACTCCTCCCTGACACCTCTCCTGTCCCCTTCTCACACTCTTTAGTCACTGTGGAGGGAGAGAGCTCAGATCTGAACTCCTCTCTGCCCAGGATGGTGTTTCCTGCTGCACTCTTCCCCACCGCAGTCCTCCCCAGCAGGATGATCCTCAGCTCAGAGTTTTGTCCTGATGAGAAAACATGAATGATTGTGACTCATGTTTGCTGGTGTCCTCATGCCAGTCAGATGTTGGCTGATAAATTGAAATAGAACAGTTACAGCTGTTCAGGGATGAGTGTGAGTATTACTGTCAAACTGTTTTACCAAGAAAACCTATATATACACATTCAGTCAAATTAAAAAGATTTGTGAATCCAAATCTACACACAGCACCCAGGACTTGAACCCAGGGCCCAGCGCTGCGAGGCAGCAGGGGAAAAATGAGAAAAACAAATACAGATACACTTTGCTGTGAGAAAGGATCCACTATTTGGTGTGTCTTTAAAAAATACTGAATGAAGCAATGTTGTTTATTGCTTAATTTAGACATGTTACAACAGTGACAATATACACATTTCACTGTCGCTTGTTCAGAAACAGAGTTTTTGTTTTGTATTGAGTAAACAGTAAGGGGACTCTTCCCTGGTCTGGAGCAGCATGTCTGAGGCTCTGAGCTTCTCCGTGCTGCTGATCAGTAACTGGGCCAGCTGGCAGGAGGGGACGTGTCCAGAGAGACTGACAGGAGAATCAGGAGCTGGACTCGGTGTGACTCCTGAACCACTGGAGCAGGAGGACTCTAGTGCAGCTCCAGGGTGACCGAGAGGGGGGCGATGTGGTTCTACAGACACTGCTGGGGGTCTGGGAGGAGCTCTGCAGCTTTGCCCTCAGGTTACAGCACAGTGTGGAAACCAGGCTGCACACTGGGAGTGAAGATGCCCTGATGGGCCACTAGGGGTCAGTATGAACCAGATCTGCAGTGGGCTTGAGGAGCAGGTGCACCCCTGACTGGGAATGGCTTCTTTTTCACAGGAAATTCAGACAGCAGTGAAAAATACAACTGGACGAGATAAAAAGGACTTAAGAAGCTTTTAATATGGGTTTTCTTTTGATAGGCAGACTTAGGCCAAGAAGAGACTGGGAAGAAATATTGCAATGGAAACAAAAATAAAAACGGTAACACTGCAAAAGCACAAGAACAGTAATGGACGAAGCAAAACGTGTCTGGGACAATAATGCAAGACTTGTAGACAATGCAAGAGAAATGACTGATATGCTAAATAGGTTCTGTATTTCACTCAGGTGTTCACTGAGGAAGAAGTTAGTCATCATATTAAATTCATATATAATACATTAAATGATATATTATTTTAATATAAGCCACATTAATCACCTAAACTTTTCCCATCTTTGAGACACGTTATTTCACTCTTTACAGTTCACTTGTTGTTTTAATACTGGAAAAAAACTTTTCATTTTACCCCCAATAGCAACGTATCTGTCTCTCTCTCAACCATTCTAATATTTTCTACTGCTGCTTAGAATTTATTAAACTGCTTTACTTTACCTGGATCGTTTCATCAAGTGCTTTTTTCTGTATATGTGACTAAATTATTAAACAATTTGGGCGGTTTTCCTGACCTTTACTTTTTCCTCACTCTACTTTCTTCTGAAAGATAAGATCAGCACAGATATCCCTCTAGTAGGCACTATAACAAACTATTCGGTATAAGGAAGCAGTCATTATTTTTGTCAAATACAAATGTTTAACTCAGCAGCTCAGAGCATGTCACAGTGCACAAAGCTGTAAACCCGCACCAGGGAAAGCTCTGTAGTATACTCTCGGGAGAGCTGGTAAAGGTATTTCAACACTTACCTCTCCTCTTCTCTTCCTCCAGCTCTCCAATTTTCATTTCCTGCTTTTTATTCTGCTCCTCTCGTTCTCTAATTTGCTTTTCCATCCTCCTCTTCATCTCCTCTGCTTCCTTCATGAACCTGTTCCTCATCTCCTCCTCCTGTCTCTGAATCTCCTCCTTTCTCTCCCTCAGGATCCTCTCCTGCTCTTGTCTGATGGCAGCTTCTGCCTCCTGGAACATCTGGCTGGTGTAGAATCCTCCTACGTTCTCTCTCACCAGGCTGTCGATCTTCTCCAGCAGCTCCCTCACCTGGGTGCGATCACTCGGATTTCTGTTATTGAAAACATGATGCCTGCTCCCATACTTGTCCGTGAGTTTAAGCAGCTCTTGAGAGTCCTGAATCAGCTCTGCCACTGTCTGGCTGCCCAGTTCGTCTCCTCGAGTGAACAGAATCATGGTGTGTCTCACCGAGCTCTTTCCCAGAAGCTCCTGGAACAGCTCAGGAATTGCCTTCTCTTCACTGGTGAACCTGCCCAGGGGCAGCACCAGGAGGAAGACGTGGGGTCCCGGGGCGCAGAGTGAGACACTACTCCCAGTCTCCCTCAGCACCTCCTCCTGGGACAGTCCCGTGTGGAACAGGCCCGGCGTGTCCACCACAGTGACCGCCCTGCCACACACCTGTCTCTCCGCTCTCTGGCACTGAGCAGTCCGGGAGGAATGACCCCGTGCAGCTCTGAACTCCACTCTGCCCAGAATGATGTTCCCTGCGGAGCTCTTCCCTGATCCCGTCTTCCCCAGGAGCACGATCCTCAGACAAGACCTGGGAGCCTCTGAAAAAGAGGGGAAAACGGGTTCGATACACCTGTATCAAGATGCAACACGGCAATGACGGCACATACTGTACACCTGAATCAGCTTGCTTGTACTGAAATGCTTATTACTGTCATTTACTAGTCAAGCACTCCTGTTGTATTAAAGCCAAAATCAAGGTTTTTAGTCTATTTTACATAGATTTAGTCCTTAAGTCAAATTTCATACACCATCATGTACACCAAATGGAAACCAGTTAGAACGATCTGGACTGAGGAATTTTGCAAACTGGATCCAGAATTCCAGACTTTGGGTTAATCCCAGACTGGCAGGTGCCATGTTTGAACACCTGTTGAACTTAGATGATCCTTTCCTGTCTGCACAGCAGGGAGAACTGTGCTCCGCTGGACAAGTCACACACGGATGGAGATGAGTGCCAGCTATCTTTCTCACTCTTGAAGCTGGCTTCCCCCAGCTGATGACACTCCTCCAGCTGTGACTGCAGCTCCTCGGTCTTCCGCCTCCAGAACTCAGCGAACTCCCTCTGCAGCGTCTGCTCCTTCTGCTTGAGCTCCTGCAGCGCCTCCTGCAGCACAGCGCACACACAGCAGCCCCCCCCGAGCTCAGCAACCATGGAGTCCACCTTCTGCAGCAGCTCTGTGACCTGGGAGCGGTCGCTGGAGTCCCTGTTGCTGAAGAGGTGGTGCCGGTCTCCACACTCCCTCACCAGCTGGCGCAGCTCGGGGTCGGCACTGTGCAGGAAGGACTCCACACCCTGCCCCTCCAGGTCCTCTCCGCGGGTGAACGGCACCAGGGTGTGCCGGACTGCTGCCTCCCCGAACAGCCTCCGCAGGGTGTCCAGCGCCCCCCCGTCCTGGTCGGAGAAGCGCGTGACGAGCAGGAAGAGCAGGAAGGCGTGTGGCCCCGGGTGTCCAGCAGGTCGGGGGTGTCGATCACGACCAGTCTCCGGCCCCCCAGCTCCGCCTCGGCCCTCTCGCAGGCCCGTGTCACGGGGCGGGCGCCCAGCCGCGTCTCGAAGTGCCTGCGGCCCAGCAGGGTGTTCCCCGAGGCGCTCTTCCCAGAGCCCGTCCGGCCCGGCAGCACCAGGCGCAGCTCAGGGGGGGCAGCAGCCTCCTCTGTGGACACTGGCCGCCTGCTGCCACTCTCACATACTGCAGGGACACAGGAGACAGACACAGCAAGCTCACGTCAGGAGGACGGAGTGAGGACAGACACACCCAGACACGCAGGCAGATACTGTACAAGACACACAGTTTCATCAGCACTGGTGGGGCCCTTCTGGGTCACATAAAAGCTGACAATTTATAATAACTTGGAACTCTCTGACCATTTCACCTGACAATGAATATCTGATTGACAGCTCCAATGTGTACTCTACATGTATATGACATCACATTGCCGTGAAGGAACAGGTAACGGCTTTTTCCATTCAGAGAAGAGAAGAAAAGAAACGTTTCTTCACCCTACGCATGCTGACACAGCTACAGTACCTACTGTACTTGAATCACACTGCAGTGTCTGACACACCACCTGGGTGGAGTTTTGGGGTGTTTGAGGAGTGTTAGAGGCAGTGTGGAGCAGTAGTGGCCGTGACTCACAGTATACACTGATCTCCATTCACAGCGACTGACATGACCTCCAGCCTCGTCTCGGTCTCGCACCTGGGGGGATAGAGTCTCTTAATATAAACACACCTCACAAAACCATTTAGCGTATCATAGCAGCGCGGTGCTTCTCTATTCGGAAAGTTAACAAAAGAACTGTGGTACACATTTGGATCACCCACCTCCAAAAGACTATTATTACTACTATTAACACTGTCAATTCAAAGCAATGAACCTCAGGCTATCAAACCAGAAATACACGATATTGTAGCCGATTCACCTTAACTAAATTGCCGATTGAGATATGCAATCTTGTTTGCTCATTTCTCTCCATTATAACGGACGAAGTTCATTATGACTATGAAGTCAATGCGTTGCACTGAATACTGCACTTCTCTTCACACAAATCAACGGTCTCACGCCACTGAGAGCTCACTAATAAGTGTCGAGAATTACCACGTTATATTAAACCACATTTCATTAAAAACCAAAAGGAGGCCACAGCTGCAGTATACCTGCCAATATTAGGGAGACGTATACGTACACACACTTTGGAATAAAAGGTTTTAACATGAAGTAGGAGCACGACCTCCCAAACGCTACACAAACTCGTACTCTCAGCTTCCAATTAGCAACGCTGGAGCGTCGCCGTCCGAAAAACATGATTCTAAAGTTGTCCTTACAGAAATAACATTTGTTAAAAGTGCCGTCGTGATATCTTTACCGACCGAAAAACAAAAAAAAACGTACCCACAGCTGAAAACGAAAGTAAAACATTAAAGACGTGTGCTAACGTTCGCCATCGAGAAACAAATTAAATACAGGTATAATACATAAGAATATATAACGAATAAAGATCTCAAACACACCTGAACCAATAAGACATGAAGTAATGTAATTGAGTACTCTAACGCTCGCCGTGAGAGTACTCACACATCACATCACTCCTCTTCCTCCAGACGCACAGTGAAGCACGCAATGGGCTCTCTAGAGTACTTCCGCACTTCTGAATTCGTCTTTCACATCGATTGTGACAGATGACAAGATGGAGACGGAGAAGACCGACGTCCATTCTGGTGAGTTACAGAGTTCATTTTCTTCCAGCATTTTTCCTTTGTTTTATTCTCCGATTCAAAACTGTTTTAACTTCAAAGTATGTATTTACGGAATTTGATCAATTAAAATCAAAGAAAAAACACCGTTGTACACGTTGATTTTATTAAGAAAAAAATACTTTCACTTTCAACTACGGACGATATTATATATATCAGGAATTAATCAAAAATAACTATAATATAAACTCGTATTTTAAGTTGTCAACACGTAGGTGCTTCCTTAAAACAACATTCTTTTGTGATGAGAACTTCTCTGGGGTGGTGAGAGCCGAACTTTGTGATTTTACATCAGCCCTGAGTAAAATCAGCCCTGAGTGTTTAATAAAATTTCCTCACAGCGGGCCTTAGTTATCTCTTTAAATGAACTGTCTGAACTGACTGGATGACTTTGTTTCTGAAATAAGTAAACCAAGCACGTCACTTCAGTGTTATTGGTTCAGTCAGACTCCTTCTACAGTATATACCGCTGGAACCCCCAGAAGCCCTGAAAACACCCAGTGGCAAAAAATTGCAAAAAATCAGAAAATACGAAAGGGGTCCCGACACGACTTCGATGAGCACGAGATGCCGCCGCTCTGAGCGAGAGCTCTCCCTGAATGGCACTGGGAGTCATGGGTAGCACCCGCAGGAGCGGCAGTACTGTACGGGGAGAGTAGGCAGTGGCTGTGTCTCTCCAGCAGGCGGACGGGATGACGAAAAGGGCTCTCCTGACTCTGCGGGCCGGACCCGGGCACCCCCTGCCCCCCCTGAGCTGCGCCTGGTGCTGCTGGGCCGGACGGGCTCTGGGAAGAGCGCCTCGGGGAACACCCTGCTGGGCCGCAGGCACTTCGAGACGCGGCTGGGCGCCCGCGCCGTGACGCGGGCCTGCGAGAGGGCCGAGGCGGAGCTGGGGGGCCGGAGACTGGTCGTGATCGACACCCCCGACCTGCTGGACACCCGG